CCCAGGCTCCTGGGATAGATCTTCCCTCCCAGCGGCTCTGGGCTGCATGTCTCCAGGCCCTGGTCCTGGGTCCTCTCCCTGTCCCGCTTCTTACTCTCCCCCTGGCTGTGCTTAGGAGCTGACGTCTGCAGGTCCAGCGTCTCCTGAGCTCCGGGCCGCGTGTCCATTTTCCCCTGGAGGTGTCTCCTTGGAATCACACGGGCATCTCAGCTTAACGTGGTCAAAACCAGACCCACTGCCTTCTCGAAGGCTCCTACGCCCGGCTCACCTGCCTCAGGGAAGGCTCTCTGTGCCCATCCCGTGCCCCTGCATCTGGGTCCGGCACAGCTGACCTGCCGGCCGGCTGTTCACTCTTCCTACACATAGGCCATGAAGCCATTCGCTTTCCCCTGTGCCCTCGGCCGCTGCCCTGGTCCAAGCCAGCGTGGTCTCCCGTTGGGTGCCTGCAGCGGCCGAGCCGGAGTCCCCACCGCCAGCCTCCGCGCCTTCCATCTGTTCCCCTCCAGCCGATCCTGCTGTGCCCGTTTCGGATGAACTCACCTGACTTCCAGCTGCTCTGAGGGTCAAGTTCAAAATCGGTTCCTCTCCCAGGAGGCAGGGACACTGGTCCCTGGTTACTTCGCTGCTGCCTCCCGCCTCCCCTCTCCCATGTAAATTGCGGCCACAGGGACCTCTCTGCCTTGGGCCTCCTCTAGGCCTGCACCCCTCCCGGGAATGCTGGGGCCCCCACCCAGAAACACTTGTCTCCTGGAAACTCCTCCCTCTGCTCCTCCAGGCTCAGCTCAGGGTGGCATCTGGGAGGGGTCAGCCCGGAGCCTCCCCGGGGGGCCAGCTCTCCCCAGGACAGGCTCAGGCACTGGAGCCTCTGCCTGGCTGGGTTTCTACGTCTGGGTGGTTATTGCTGTGGGATAGTGTCCCCGACAATTCTAGGGACACCTGCAGTCTCTTGTCCCCTGGGTCCAGCAAAGGTTAAATGTAACTGTCATCTTTCAGGAGACACTCTGACGGGCTTCCTGGGAGGGCCCTGCGGGCTGGGGGTGTCAGGGGAGCCTGTAGAGGTCAAGGGGCCGGGGAGGGGTTGACTGGTTGCCCCCAAAAGATATGTTCACTTCTTAGCTCTGGAACCTGCAAATTCAACCTCATTTAGAAAAAAGATGTTTGCAGATTTGACTAAATGAAGAAACTTGAGCTACCATCCTGGATGGGCCCTAAACCCAATGGCAGGTGTCCTTATAAGAGACAAAAGGAGGCAAAGGCTCACAGACACACAGAGAGGTTACTCGAGGACAGGGGCAGAGACTGGAGGGAAGTGGCCACGGCCCAGGGGTGCCTGGAGCTTCTGGAGGGACGTGGCCCTGGGACACGTTGATGCCAGACTTCAGCCTCCAGACTGTGGGAGTCCATCTCTGCTGTAAGCCCCCGTGTGTGGGACTTGGATACAGCAACCCCAGGACACTCGTCCAGGGTCAGCCGGGCAGGGCTGGGTTCTGTCTGCCGTGTGTGAGACGCCTGGGCTCGGGCCTGGGCAGAGCCAGTGGGTTTCCTGTGTCCTGTGCTCCCGTGTCCTATGGGATCGACCAGACTCCTTGTCTGTGCCCCACTCAGGACTGTTCCTTCAGGACTGTTGCCCTCTCTCACCCTCTGGAGGGTCCCTGCCCAAGTCGGGGAGCAGGGTGGGGTCTGTGTCCCCCCGGGACCTGGGCCAGTGTGGCAGGCAGGAGGGCTCGAGGCTTTCCCACGTGGAGATGGGGGTGCTTCCTTCCACGTGGAGCCCCGGAGGGAGGCCTGGGCAGCAACATTTCCTAAAGCCCCGGAGGAGACGTGGCCGCCCGCGCATTAGGCTGAGCTCCCGCAGAAGCTGCTGAGCTGCCTCCACGGCCTGGAGCCAGTTGGGTCCCTGGGCTGTGAGCCTGGGGGCTTCTCCCAGCAGGCGTGAGAATGGGCTCTGAGCACACAGCACTCACCTCCCAGGGCGGGCGTCCCTGCCGGGCCCCAGAGCCACACAGTGCCCGGCACGGGAGGTCAATGAACGCATGTCGGCGTATGCTGGAGCTCGGGGAGAGACCCCACCCAGCCCCACACGCCCCTCCCGTGGCGCCTGCCCTCCAGTGGCGGCCTCCCTCGAGTGGCAGCCTCCCTCCCGTGGCAGCCTCCCTCCCGTGGGCCTCCCTCGAGTGGCGGCCTCCCTCCCGTGGCAGCTTTCCTCCCGTGGCGGCCTCCCTCCCATTGCGCCTACCCTCCTGTGGCAGCCTCCCTCCTGTGGCGGCTTTCCTCCGTGGCAGCCTCCCTCCCATGGGGCCTCCCTCGAGTGGCGGCCTCCCTCCCGTGGCCGCCTCCCTCCCGTGGCCTCGTGTCCAGGGCGTGTGTCTGGCAGCGGGGGCCTGCGGAGCCTGGACGTTTCCTCAGCAGCCCCTGCCCAGCCTGGCCTTTGAGCTTCACAAAACGCCAGCTTCCCCCTGGTTTCCTGCCAACCCCGGGCGCACAGAAGCGCCCTGGTGATCCCCGTGAGCTCCAGACGGCACAGCGCCCCCATGAGGCGTGACTCACGCCGTCCCCGGGAGCCGGTGCCGCCAGCGAGTGAATCACCCGTGAAACGCACAAGGCTTGACATGTTTCTCACCAGTTTCTATTTTAAAACCCTGTCCTTTCATTCCTGTAGCAACTTGGGTCTCTTTTTACTCAAACTTGCAGCTCTCTTACGAATTGTGGATGTGCTGAAAATGCTTGTAAAACGCAAAACTGAATTCAGACACACTGTGCGGGTCGAACGTCGGGTGGCGGAGGCCCAGCCCCCATGTGGCCCTGCGCCCGCCCGCCGGAGCTGGCATGGTGGGGACACGGTCATCACTCGAGCTCAGAGTCGAGACTCCTGCCTTCACTAGAGGGCTTTATCTCCCCAGGAACCCGATTCCTTCACACCCAGGCCCTGGCCCCACTTCTCTATGAACACGGAGGGGTTTCTAGAAAATAGCTATGACGCACTTAGGAAAGCCATTCACTCCCCTTGAGAGTCCCGGCCCTGGCACAGCCCTGGGGGGGCAGGGGACAGGCCAGCAGGGTGGGGGTGCAGAAGCCTGGGAGAGTGCCACATTTGCAGTGGCCGCTCTGGAACAAAGCAGACACTGATGTGCCCCACAGGTCACACTGTGCTGCGAGTTTGACTGGCCTGGAGTCTCGTGATGCCCAAGGCTACCGTGTCCTGGACACCAGCCTCCTTATGCCACGGTTCTCATGGTGTGGCAGCGACCCCATCCTCTCCAACCAGGACAAGGGGGGTGAATACAGCAGGGCAGGGCAGGAGCAGAAACTAAGCAAGAAAGTGGTCCTGGCTGGAGTCCCATGAGGTCTGCCCCAGGGACCCTGGGTGGACACTGAAGCCCCACGGGGTCCTCTGTACCTCTGAGGGGTCAGTCACCATCCGCCCTGCTCTGGGGGTGGGTGGGGCACAGCCTCCGGTCTGTCCCGTGCTGTGTGCACGACTCAGAGCAACGCGAAAAATACACCCCATTGGGACAACGCCGGTGCACCACTGAGCGTTAGGCCGTACAGAAAATTACAAGAAAGGAAGGCAAGCGATGAGGAATTTCTCCAACCAGGAACGGTCACTGCTGATTTCTGCTTTATTCTAGAACCTCCTTTCATTCTCTCCCGTGTTCCATACCCAGTGTCACACCACGAGGTCATTCTGCACGCGGTGACTGGGCGCTTTGAGAAGACAAAGGGGAGGCAACAGGCAGCGTTTGACGAGCGGCGATGGCAGGCGTGACTCGTCACCAGCAGGCTCTCTGGCCCTTTGCCTCAGAAACAGCCCCATGACTCGTGTCATTAAACAGAAGTTATAACCATTGCCCTCCAGAGACTCATCGCTCAAGTACCTGGGGGTACCAATGGCCGTTATGTGGCTCGTGTAGCTCTTTCTTTTTTTATTTTAAGGGAGAAACAGAAGGTTTTGTTCGGCCATTACTCCCGGGTGGGGGCCCCGCGCCCTGCTCAGCGGTCAGAGGCTCTGGCTCCAGGATGGGAAGTGAGGACTCACTGGGCCTCTCTGAAGTGCACGTCCAGGTCAAGTGAGCCGAATGGGTTTTGGCCCACGATGAGGACAATTCCAGATGGTTTCACCCCTGGGTCCCAGCGGACCTCCCCCAGCCTTGGATTCTTAGCTCTGAGCCCCCTCAGCGAGTTGAGCTCATTTCCAAGTGAGTTTTCCAAGAAGGCTGCTCACGGGGAAGATGGAACCTGGCTTCCCTTTACCTAAGGAGGCCTTTCTGTGACCTTCAGGAACGGGCAAGGCAACCTGGCTGGGCACGGGGTTCTGGATCCCTCTCTCTCTCTATTTAAAAAATATGTTCTTATTGATTTTTAGAGAGAGGAAGGGACAGGAATAGAGATATAGAAACATCAACGAGAGAGAAACATCATTGATCGGCTGCCTCCTGCACGCCCCTACTGGGGATGGAGCCCGCAACCCGGGCATGTGCCCTGACCAAGAATTGAACCATGACCTCCTGGTTCATAGGTCAGCACTCAATCACTGAGACACACCAGCCGGGCTCGGATCCCTCTCTGATCTCTGGGTGGCATTGGTTTCTCCTGCTTTGTGTGGCAGGACACTCCAGGCAGGACACTATGTGTCCCTGCTCACAGTGTTTGCTGGAATCTGTGAGTCTGGGTTCCTTTTCTATGCACTTAAGTCCTTTGGAAATTTCTTAGTCTGTCCACAACCCCAGACCTTCTTTCCAAACCTGCTCCACTGGCCAGGAGCATGGGAGTGTCTTCTGCTCAGCACTGCTCCCCCTGTCATCCTGACTGTCTCTTTGGGGGAAGTCTTGCACCCCCTCTTACCTGGAATCTCAGTACCACCCCCACATGCTGGGGGAGATGGGGGGGCAGAGAAGAGGGAGGGCAATTGAGGTGTCAGGGAGTCCAGAGGGCATTTCCGGGGGCAATTGAGAGGGAGGGGTGCAGTTCCTGGAAAGTGAGATAGATAGTGAGACCTCCATCTCTGGAAGCATTCAAGAGGAGCCTGGCTGCCCTTTGTTGCTGGAGTGATTCTTGCTTTCGGATGGCGGGTGAGCCTCAGGTGGTGTAATGGGTAGAATAGTGCCCCCCCTAAATATCCCCCATTCCAGCCCCTGAGCCTGTGAATGGGACAGTGTTTGGAAAGAGTCTGTGCAGATGGTTAAGTAGAGGATCTGGAGATGAGGGGCTCTTGGTCCAATGACAAGTGTCTTTACAAGAGAAAGGCGAGGAGAAGACACAGGCACAGGGAGAGGCCATGTGACGGCAGAGGCAGAGGTTGGAGTCACTGGCCACAAGCCCAGGGACACCTGGAGCCACCGGGAGCCGGAAGAAGCAGGAGGGCTTCTCCCCAGTGATCTCAGCAGGAGAAATCCTGCCCACACCTTGATTTTGAACTTTTGGCTTCCAGGACTGAAAGAGAGGGGACGTTTCTGCTGTTTTAAGCCCTTCCCCATATGTGGTCCTGCGTTACGACCACCCCCGGGCGCTTGTCAGGTGGCCTTGGGAAACCTCCCTGGGCTTGAGGTCCCCGGACTGCCATCCTCCTGGGGCAGGGAGGGGGCGGAGGCCTTCGAAGGGGCCTCCCAGGGTGCTGCCCACAGCAGAGAACCCTGTGGGAGGGCACAGTGGCTCTGGAACATTCCTGAGGGTGGTGACTTGTCATCCTTGGTTAAATTTAGTTCCTTGATCCATGCTGGGCTCAGAACCCTGGAGCCAGGCTCCTGGCTTGAGCCACTCTGGGTCGGGGGGCGGGGGGGCAGCACAGGGTGGTTGCCCTCTGGGGTGTCTGCATTAGCTCCTCTCGTGGGCAACCTGGGAAAAGAGAAGACGGCTTCTGAGTAAACCGGTGGCAGAGTCCTTGCAGCAAACGTCAGCCTAATTGCTTTTGAAAAATGTCTCTGCGTGACATTATGTCTTGAAGACATGAAATGAGGCGGAAAACCATTATAAACAGCAGGCGAGGCCCCTCGCCTAGGGCCAGGAAAGGTCAGAGTGAGGGCATGTGGGGCCTGGTCTCCCTCTGCTGTTCCATTGGTGACCTCAGGCCGGGCCTCTTCTCCCTGGGCCTGGCCAGGTGGCCAGAGGGGCCTGTCCCTGAATTTGTCATCGGCATGACTGCACCGAGGGGAGGAAGTGACCTCCAGTGAATGGAGCAGCTGGTGGATCCAGGAGGAAACGGGAAAACCAAATGCTCCCGAGCTCTTTGGGCCTCCAGGCTGGCTCCGGGNGTGGGGACCTCCTCAGTCAGTCATCCAGCTGTATCTCTCGGAGCCCCTGCTGCACTCTAGGGACTGCTGTAGGAGCTGGTGAGGCTTCCCTGAGCAAACCTGCCCCCGCCCCCCACACCCCGAGAGAAACAGGCAGTAAACACACGGGCGTGACTGCAGCAATGCCAACAGTCCTTAACCACATAGACACAGCCGCGGGGCAGGGAGATCTTAAACAGGTGGCCGAGGAAGGCAGCCTGGGAGCCCGATGACAGAGACTCGGGGGGAGGGGCATCGGGATGGGGCCGGGATGGTGGGCTCCCTCTGTGAGCCCTGCGGGGTTCTTGAGATGAGGGGACTGCGGTCCTCCTGGGTCTCTCCGAGGATCCTGTTCCGACGTCGTCTCTCTTCCTGCCTTTTGCTGGTGGTTCCTCCCTCCTCTCCTGCCTCGGCGTTTGGCGTCACTGTCACCTTGGTGCCTCCCAGGCAGCCCTGGCTGGCCCTCCGTGGGGGGCCCCGGGTCCCACGGGGCCCAGCAGTGCGGAATGGACGGGGTCTTGCGCTAGGGGTGGTTTAAGTGCTGGCGCTTCGCTTTCCTTAGGGGCTGTTTCCCGCGCGGTGGTGAGAGGCTTGCGGAGGCCAGCTGGGCGCGCAGGCTCCCCGGCCACCGTGAGCTGCGCTCAGCCTCCCCTCACCGGCCCTGGCCTGCTGGCTCCGCCCTTTGTCATTGGGGACTTTGAGTCTCTGAGAAGGTGGGGCCCCCTCCCTCCCGCCAGGGCCGGCCCCCGCCTGTGCTGTGGGTGCAGGC